CTCAAAATTAAGATATATATATCCTTTTATATATATATTCATTTTCCCCGTTTCCAATATTTTATTTATTTATTTATTTTTTTCAAACATGGAAACCAAAAACAAAGAGCAACAAGAAAAAAGCAGAGTCCCACAGTGTACTAAGAGGGTTGACCGGGAAAGCCAAGCGCGATGAAGCTGAATAATTGTCGTAAGGAAGATAAGTGTATGGTAGAGGAGGAGGATATTGGCAGCACTGAACTGTTGCTGGTGGGCAATTGCTTACAGCAGGAGGTGGTGGTGGTAGTGGTGGTGGTGGAGCACCGTATGATGGATATCCCGACTCCGGTGGAGGTTGTGGGTGGCAGGGATATTGACATATAGAGCAGTTCACACAAGCATTTGGTACTGTAGAATTGCCATCACCATAAACATCATCTGTTTGTGCGCGGTAAACATTAGAGACGAAAAACCAGAGTGCTAGCACGAACATAAGCTGCTCTGACAAGATGAAGATTGCTTCTATCGACTAAAATATTGATAAATTAAAGGGACGGAGAACAAGATGAAGATTGGTTGTGTCTCTTGCTTCCCAATGTATGTGTTTGTGTTACACAATTTTAGTCTGAAATAGTGGCTCATATGACACATAAGCACAAAGCAAGGTGTCAATTCAAAGGAGAGTATGAGATTGACTTTTGTGCATGTATTCCACTTTCCACATAGTTACAAAACACAGAGTGATAACTATACAGTCTATACATCATCAAGAGAAATGGGCACCAAAAGCTTATACATCAGCAATTTTAACAACTCACCATCACCAACAATTCAAAGTTGGAAGGGACTTGTAAATTATACAGATTATTACGTATAAATGATGCTAATGACTTATATTTATTATTTGATAGTTTCAAAGTCTCATAATTCTAAAAAAATAAATATATAAAAAAATATTATTTATTCTCATAGAGGTATTATATTTAAGCACATTGATATCACTTTCTGTATATGCAGGTACCATTTTTTGTCATTAGGTATCATTTTTTGTGCTAAGCACATAAATATCACTTTTTACGTATACAGGTACCATTTTTTGTCATTGGGTATCATTTTTTGTGCTAAGCACATAAATATCACTTTTTGCGTATACAGGTACCATTTTTTGTCATCAGGTACTATTTTTTATGCTGCACAAAAAAAAATGGATACTTGATACATAAAAAGTGATACCTATGTACACAAAAAGTGATACCTATTTGAATAAAAGTGGTACCTGATGCAAAAAAAAGTGGTACCTGCGTATAAAAAAATGATACCTATATGCCTAAAAGTGGTATCTCACTGAGAGTAAACAACGTTTTTTTTTATGTTCACGTCAGCGTTTTGGTTAACTTCATTTTTTTCAAAATTATGAAACTTTGACTCCATCAAATGATAAATATAAGTTATTAGCACCATTTATATCTAATAATCCCTAAATTGTTCAGATTCAAGGAATAAGAACTTGTTGAATCTAATGCTAATTCTGGAACTTTATATGCTATTACTTTAAGAATCAGATTGAAATTATAAGATTAACGTAATCGCGGACCATCAAATAATTATAAAAAAAAAAAAAAAAAACTTGGCTTCTTCTTGTTGTTGTATATATGTATATATAGATGCCAATAATCAATAATATGGATGCCACAAATGGTAAGTGAGATTAACATTCCTTTGTTCCATGATTAATAATCAATAGACATGTAGAATAAAATCAGAGTTTCGAATCCATTCCATGCAACGTCCAACTACTCATAACCAAATAAAGAGATCTTCACGTGTGCTTTCGATCTGTTTCATATATATATATATATATATATATATATATATATATATATATAGGTGAATAATTGGATCACTGACATCTTACCCCAAGGCCTCCTGCAACAACCTACCACGCTCTCTGTTGTATTAATATTTTTATATATTCCACCCCAAACATCTTAAGTCATACGATTTAATTTGCTTAATTTATTGACTTTGATTTCTGACTTAATTGCAAAAACAAAATGATGAGCTCAACAGCTCTCCATCCATATTATGATTATGGACATTCTCTTGGATATCATTTTTAATTATGAATTTGAGTCATGTTGAAAGTAGAGACATTCTCTTGGATATCATTTTTTAATTAAGAATTTGAGTCATGTTGAAAGTAGAGACATTCTCTTATCCTCGAACTAGGGTCTTCCATGGACTTGACCTGCACGTTTCAACAAACAAAATGATTTCCCATGATTACATGTAATAATAACACTTATTAATTTGCTTATGCATGTTTTTTATATATACACACTATATAAATATAAATATAAATATAAATTAATAATAAAAAATTTTATTATTATGAAAGAGTAGAAATGGAGAGCGGAACAGCCTGCTCTCCGTTGGATATACACAATTGAAAACTGACTTATTTAAGGGTCAATTTTATTTTTTATTAAAACGTATGAGAAAAAAAAAATTTTTATTGAGCAAGTTAGTGTTCTTGACATTCAAACTTCAAATTGAGAGATAATATTAACATGGTTTTTGACATTGTATCAACGTGTTGCTTTGGCGATGAAATTTGGAATTCAATTTTAGTCATATTATATTAGATGGAGAGCTGTTGAGCTCATCATTTTGTTTTTGCAATTAAGTCAGAAATCATAGTCCATACCTCAAGTTATACATATAATCTCTTTTCCAATGGAAATTTGAGACTTGGAGTATCATTATGGATGTGTTTTTGATTTTTTATATTATAAAAAACACTTGATATTTCGTGTGTACTATTTTAAACTTGTATATCATATCTTCTCGATATAGGTTCCCCACCTTTGAAGGATGATAGACGTCCAACAAACCTATTCACTGTTTTGTGTGTGTGTGTATATATATATATATATATATATATAAGGAACAAGCTAGAGAATCATGTTAAATCGTTTAATCAATGCGCTTTTTTGTATTTTTCTTCTTTAGGTTCTTTGTCAAAAACCATCAGCTAATTGATTTCTATCACAGTGCACACACATCATATCTTTCTAAAAATATTAGGTATCTCATGATCACTATTTTATACATGATCTCAGTAGATTACAATTACATAAAATTATAACAGGTATTAGTTTTATTAATGAAATATACACATCAATCATGTGCGAACGTATGTATGAGAAATGCGTATTACATATATGATTTCGGTCAACTACAATTACATAAAGTTATATCACGTATCAATTTTATTAATGGAGTGTACACATCAATCATGTGCGAACTATGTATGAAAAATGCGATTTGGCTTTTCTCTCCGACTTCACCTTTTTATCTGTAGAATGACAGAAATTACTCAATACATAATTGATTTGTCTCATCATTAATTTGTCTCAAGACTTTTCCATGATCTGTTTTTTTCATTTTTCTTGTCGAACACTAGGAACCTCTAATAGGACTGATAGATGAAAATATTGAAGATAAATTAGAGCATACATAGATGTTCTAATAAATCTAAAATCAAAATAAACGTTCATAAATTCCTGCTGTCAAGATCATCAATATATATATATTTTCCGGTAAATCCGTAATTCATTAAAAGGGAAAACACTGTATTTGTATGTTCTCTTGAGTTTATTCCACTCATATACGTATGTTTTTGTATACTTCTATATTTGTATTTAATTTTGTGTTTGTAAACCCATCACTTGATTAACCATAATGACTTATAGAGTTTCAAGATATGTTGGCCTTGCCAAAAAAAAAAAAAAGAGGATGAAAATTGAGCATAGAAGACCCAAAGCATTGACATGTATCTTATTAAATTACTTCTTGATTTTGGAGGAGGGGTGGCAAAATCTGCATCAACTTCTTTACAGAACCTTGGGGCTTTTTTCGGTGAGATGATTTTTTAAGGTATAATTTGATCGGAAAGAAATAAAAGAAAAAGAAACGAAAAGAAATAGAGGGTGAATGAAGTTTTTTTATTATTATTTTTAAAAGTTAGTGCTTATCATTTTTTTTCTCTACCAGTATATAAATTTAAGGCTTCCAAGGGAGAGAGAGGGAAGCAAAAAAAGAGGGTGAAAGAAGTTTGTTTATTATTAATTTTAAATCAAAGTTTTGAAACTTATTAAATCCCATGCCTGACGAGATACACAATGTAACACTGTAAAGAAAGAAAAAGCTAACGCGTGAAGAGAGATCGAGAGAAAAGGCTGATGTTTGTAAAATAAAAAATATTTATGGAAAAAAAGACAAACGATCATTTGGCTTCTAGCTAATAATTCCTCCCTATCTTCGCCATATGGGTCCCAATATGACCAAGAATTCCACTCACTGTTTTGTGTTTGCTGTATATGTCTGTATATTCTTCTTCGTTTTTTCCGGTAAGTATATGTGTATATTCATCATATATGGAACTAGACTAGAAAAGCATGTTAATTGTTTTATTTTATTTTTTCCTGAATGAAGCATGTTAATTGTTTAATCTACGCTATCTTTTTATTTTTTTTTCAAAGGCAATCTATGATATCTTTTGTTTTCTTGTTTCTTGTCTTTGTTAAAATTAAGTCAAAAACCATCTCATACTATCACAGACTAAAACCATCCCAATATTCCCAGTACATCCGCCCATTTGCTACATGGCATTATTATACTTATCCGCATTCCAAATAGATACAATAGTAGTTAGCATAGATATGTCAGAGCAAATTACTACATCCAATCCTAAAAAAGTGTTATTTTTAAGAAATTATGACAGTTCAATTTATGAAGATCCCGTTTCCATAAAAGTAACACTTTTTATGAAACGAAAATAATAAATGATATTTAATCTCAGATTCTTAGCCCTCACTCACATAAAAAGGTGTGAGAGTTGTTTAAACTGTTCAATATAGTTAGTATTAGTATAAATATATAAATATATATTGCTCTTATACAAATAAAACTCTCTTGGTTTCACCTCATCTAGGATTCTTTAGACTTGGTGACACAACTCTATGGAACATTCTAGTACTCCGTTCCTCCTCTCCCAAACCCACTCAACCGAACCCGAAACTCCAACGCTTCACAAACACCAGTTCTACTCCTTGGATGACACCATCGAGCGGTGCATTGGAGGAGACTTTGGGTGTGTCCAGTTCCTTCAAGTCCTCCTCGTGTCCCTCGCGTGGGTCTTCGATGCGCAACAATTATTCATCAGTGTCTTTGCAGACGCTCAGCCAACATGGCACTGCACAAATCAACTGGCATGCAACTACACGACCACAAACATCTGCGAGCTTCCGAAGAATTCATGGGCATGGGATTTATCCCCACACACTTCCATCATATCGGAGTGGTCTTTAGAGTGTGCCGGCTCCTTCATCACCGGCCTGCCGGCCACCTCCTTCTTCCTCGGTTGCATGTCAGGTGGACTGCTGCTGGCAACACTGGCGGACTCGTCACTCGGCCGCAAGAACATGCTACTCCTGTCATGCTCACTCATGTCTGTAGCTGGCCTCCTTACAGTGATTTTGTCCACCAACGTCTGGATCTACTCGGCTTTCAAATTCGTCAGTGGGTTCGGACGAGCAACAGTCGGGACATGCTCCCTCGTGTTGTCAATGGAGCTCGTCGGCAAAAAGTGGAGGGGAGAAGTCGGGATCATTGGCTTCTTGTGTTCCACTTTAGGGTTTCTCTCATTACCACTCATCGCTTACCTGAATAGGACCTCTTCATGGAGAATTCTGTATCTATGGACTTGTATTCCAACAATCATCTACTGCACATCAGTCTATTTCTTCGTTCCCGAATCTCCAAGATGGCTTTTTGTCAGAGGACGAAAAGAAGAGTTCATGGCAACACTCAAGCACATAGCACAATACAACAGCAGCAACTTAACCCGCTGGAGCTTCTCCGGCATGTCCATCGAGCACGAACCAGGGAATAACACGGATCTTTACTCAGCAGTAAATATCATGTTAGAGAAAAGATGGGCGATTCGGAGGTTGTTGACGTTGATGGTGGTGGGATTTGGGGTGGGTATGGTGTACTATGGATTGCCGTTGGGGGTCGGAAACTTGGGATTCAATCTCTATTTGGCCGTCACGTTTAATGCCTTGTCGGAGGTTCCGGCTTCGTTGATCTCATTTTTCTTGGCACGGAGACTGAACAGGAAGAGTGCGGTTTTAGGGTTCACAATGGTGAGTGGGATTTGTTGTGTGATGTGTGTGGTGCTCGTGAGGGATGAGTTGCAAATGTTGGCGGAGATGGCGTCGTTCTTCAGTGCGTGTACTGCGTTTAACATGCTGTTGATTTACACCATGGAGTTGTTTCCTACGTGCGTGCGTAACTCGGCGGTGTCCATGGTGAGGCAGGCGCTGGTGTTTGGCGGAGTGTTCAGTCCATTGTTGGATGGTAAGGCGTCGTATGGGGCGTTTGGGGTGACCACAGGGTGTTGTGGGCTGTTTGTGGCATGTCTGCCGGAGACTAGGGGTGGGATCCTTTGTGACACCATGGATGAAGAGGAGCAAAAGGAGAGATCAGCAGCGGCCGCAGCCTCGTATCTCCAATCCCATCCATGAACAAAGAGTCAATGAGATGGAGTGCCATAATCAGAAAACCTACCTGGCTCTTCCCACCTGAGTGGGGAGGAATTTTTAGATGCTCTGTGATTCTAGTCGGTCACAATTTTTTGCTCCGTGAGTCAGGCTTATGTGAACTTTAATCTTTATTCAGTTTTTTATATTTTATTATTGTGTAAGGCAATTTTGTGTTTGTGGTTATAATTGTATGGCGTCGATATAAGCGTATTATGTTAAATACGTATATTTAAATCTAATTCATTTAATAATCAGGTGAAGAACTCATAATACTAATCCAATCTATTTATTAAACAGGTAAATGTGTTAATTCATTTAATGACTTATTTATCAAAATAAGGCATTTAATATTTAATCGAATACTAAATAATTGAAAAGATTTGTTATAATTAACTTAAATATCTAAAATAAAAAGAAAAATCATAAGGCATAGATAATATTTATGTTGAAAAGATTTAACTATCTATAGTAATTGGATTTAAACATGTAATATATTACGTAAGTCATATTCATGATTATAACATATTGAGTTAAATGGGTCATAAACGAGTTACACGGGTTGAACCCCTCAACCTTAACTGAACACGGTTAAGTAAACGGATTAATTGTGTCGACTCTTTTACCACCCAAAACCGTTTATGCTAAACCCAAATGTTTTTAACTTGTCGTGTTGTCTTGTCGTGTCCTAATTTGCCACTCCTATGTAAAATACCAATAGTATTATTATTATTATTTTGACAAATAAGACTATTGGATTAGTTCCATTGTTAGACTACGTATCATTTGTCACAAAGAAAATCTAAAAGGAAGCAAACACATGTATCAATGGGATTGATACGAATAAATCATCTTATTGAGCTTCTTCATAATAAAATTTTCTCAGGTGATTATATTATTAATTGTATAATATATAGTTTCCAAACAGTGCAACTTAAATGTATCCCTCTTTTAAATATATTATTTAAGGCAATCGCTAGAACGTTGCTTAGTCATGGCAACCAGAGAGAATTCTAAATTTGTTTTTACGAATATAGGCCTTTTAATATATCGATTGTGATTTCGACCAACATTTGTCCCAACTTGCATGTGAATTGAACATTAACTGAGGCTAAAAGGCTTGGCTGTTGTTTTTTGTTTATTGTGTGTGGGGCTTGTTTTTCAATGGGTATCGAAATAACGTCTTCTCCCAAACCCAAACCACATGAAGGTAAACCCACACAACATCTAATTGAAACAGCCCCAACACTCATTCCCAAACCTTCATCAACTAAGGATCCATCAACCGAAACCGAAACCGACTGTTGCTCAAAATGCAAATATTGAGCATGAGATTTGGAGATGGTTACCATCATTAACCGTGTTGAGGCTACCATCATTGTATACTTCCACTGAATCTGTTCAAGTACAAAATGAGCTGCAATCAAAGTTAAAAGCTCTGATATAAGTATCGTGTTGTCTGAGTAGTTGTGTTGCTTTCCAATTCCAAGAGCCTGTGATCAAGCCTTGCACCTCCCCTCTCAAACCACTAACCCCTAACATTCTTGCCATGAAAAAAAAGAAGAAAAAAGCGAAAAAAAAAAAAAAAAAAAGAAGCTAAGAGTTCAGATGGTATCCATGACTTCCAGTGAGAAATCTGTCTGTTTGTCACTAACTTGGCAAATTCAAATTTGAATTTTGTGGGAAAGTCAAATCACAACCACCTCATGTATAAACAGAAGAGACGAACAGAGCATTTGGCTTAGAATTGCCATCACCATAAATATCTTCTCTTTGTGCAAGGTGTAGATTAGAGATGAATAACCAAACTGCTAGGAGAAACACATGCTTTGCCATAGACATTTGCTTCTCTCACTTGAAATATTGATAAATCAACAAAGTAATGGAGAGCAAGGTGAAGATGGGTGGTGTCTCTTACTTCCCAGTGTATGCGTTTAAGCTATATAATTTTCGTCGCGAATAGCTGCTCATATGACACATAAACACAGAGCATGATATTTACCAAGCAATCAGGTGGCAATTGAAACGGGAATAGGATATTTACTTGTGTGCATGAAATCCCACTCGGACAAAACAAAGTGATAGGCTGATAGCCATTCATCATAAAAAGAAATGAGCACGAAACGCCTATACATCAGCAATAATAACAACTCTGTTACCATGACAAGCAATTCAAAAGTTAGAAGGGACCTGTAAATCTTAATTATCAGATGATTTTATTAACTATTTCATGTACAATATATCCCACCTTGGGACAAAATCAAATGAATTGTACTGTGTCCATCTGTTAATTTATATAAGAAAATATATGTACAAAACCACTTCTTTTATCAAAGAAATGAAAACTACATTCACAACATTCCAATTTAAAAGTTTTATTCAATTTTTATTTTTGTCCGCTGTAAGTTGCTTCATCAAAAGGTTCAACGCAACAGATCTTGATTATTGCAGTATAACAAACTCTTTTTAGCAGAAAATCCTGTAGTTGCAGGCATCACAGAAAAGCCAGCATAGTCCTTGTCCTTCTTTGCTAAGCATATTTTTGCAACATTATTGAAGCTCTCACTTTTCAGCACATATGGTTGGGCTGCATATTCCTCAAATGACATCCACTGAAAGGAAGAGAAAATCAAAATGAAAAAAAAAAATGTAAAGCAATGATGTTAAAATTGCTTAGCATGCAGTAATTAGCGGGCCTAGTCTGAGTCAGATTCTTGAAATTTCACATTACTAATAAAGTGAGTGATGACCAAAATGGGAACAAAATAATAAGCTATAAACAAGGCAAAGCAGGAGGCAGGGCCAGGTTCATGTCCATTTCAATTAAATGTCTGAAAAGAATGAGATGCGATTTTTCATCGTTTTATGCAAGTTCTTGTTAAGATTATGTCGGAAACTACACTTAGCCCCAATTATACCAACAGGATTCTGAACTCTATGAGATTGCAATTGCAAGACTATTAAGGCAACTTAATGCCATCAAACATAAAGTCCACTTTCTCTTTTGCTTTTTGTTTTTAGATATTCCAGGAAGAATATGGTAGAATCCTAGTCCAAGAAAATAAAGGGCCTTGGATTGATTTAAAAAGATAAGGTCATGAAATGGTGCCCCGCAAGTCTGCATCAGAGCTATACGGCTGTCTCATTCCTTAGCCATGCACAGGACCACATGTATTATTCAGCTCTAAACATAATATTTCCCTCATCTGATCTCTTCTTTTTGATCAGGTAACAAAATTCGACGCTTATCAGTCTATTGCATCTGCCCAGAGTAAATTCTGGGATGATTTAATAAGCAAGTTGTTAGGAATTATGTCTCAAATTCCCATTATTATTAGTTTCTATTTTAGAGTGTATTTTTTTATGGTAATTTCTTATAGAGACGTGAATTGGGTTCTAAGAAATTGAAATCCTTGTCCACAAAGGAATTGGGTATGTGACTCTATAAATAGACACTTAGGCTATTGTTGAGAGTTATGAGTTGAGAGAGATGTAGCCTCATGAGGGAGTACGTTGATGGTAGGGGTGAGTTATGGGTTTGGCAAAGTGAACACTGATGGCGAGAGGGATTCTCGTGGAGTACACGGAGAACTCGGTCAAGAGTTTGTGTGCATGGTCCGGTGTTGAAATTCTCTACTATTGTAATATCTCTACATATACATAATCTCTTCTCATCCGTGGATGTAACCCTGATTTTGGGTGAACCACGTATATATCTTGTGTTGTGGTTTGAATTGTTTTTTTCTTTCTCTCTTTTGCTTCCACTGTGCCCCAACACAAGTGACAAACCTAAGGTAGTTTTGCCAATGAATAACCAGCTATTCAATTGATTGATAATCCTAGGAAAAATTTACACCATTAGAAAGAAGGGCAGGGCATGCAGTATATATGCTCTAAAATGTTGTGAAAGCAATGCCCATTACAAATGAGCGCTCTGGCCTTTAGTTTGATTTATCAAAAGCAAACTGACACTCATAATCAATCAGTCTAACGGGATTTACCTGTGATGCCTCGAGCTCTGAATCTTGCTTCTGGATATCAAATGAGAGTGGCCTTAGCATGCAAACAAACATCAAGTCTGACTTGCTAAAGAATGACTTGTGACTTTGCCTGTAATTGAAGTGCGAGTTTGAGATAGAGCCATAATTTATAATGAGAATATAAAAATGATATCGTGTTATTTGTTTTGCTAGGTGGTACAAAAATTTAGTATTTTTTGGAACTAGAAAAACATTACACTGGTGAAAAAAAGTTTTACATTGAAAAAACATTTTCTGCTTTCTCACCTGAATGCGAGGACTTCCACGAATTCTGTCTCAATCTGAAGTGGAAAAAAAAAAAAAAAATCTCTTAGATATGGCTTCTATAGCTCTGAATTAAGTATATATCTATATTTTTCTATTTATTTAAGTACAGAAACTGAAGACTTGATCACTTACTCCTGCCTCCTCTTTCACTTCTCTGACTGCGGCTGCACATATATCCTCCCCCTGCATAACAAAAAGAAAAAGAAATAAAAAATGATATCCCAAAATCTATTAGTAATAGATGGAACACTGAAGAGCCAGTTACACACCTCGTCAACCACCCCAGTGGGCATTTTCCAGATGCCAGTGCCTCCGAAATGGCCACTTTTTTCTTGGACTACCAGAACCTACCAAATGAAATGATTTGAATTTTAGAAAGGAAATTTAACCACCAAAGTTCAACATGAACTCGATGTTCCTAAGTCATAAATAGAGAAAAGGGTTGACAATTAAGACAGCTGTAAAAGGAATACCTCCCCCTTATTATTCGCGACAAATGCACAAATTCCTACACGGTGTGAAGCATTTGCAGGGAGAGTATTTGGAGTTTCAGGAATCCAATATACAAGCATTAAGTATGTAGATTCGGCATGATGATAACAAAATCCTTCCTGCACAATTAGCAAAACGAAATTATGAAACATGAAGACAAAAGCAAAGGCAAAAAAACTATCAACATCAACAAAAAAGACATGATAAAGAGCAACATGATTAATTCATTGATTTCTATTCCATAATCATAAGTAATTATTGATGGTTTCAAGTGCCAGATTATGTAATCCAATTTAGTTTCTCAAAAACCACAATAGCTAATATTACAATATAATATTTTTTTACCTTGACTGCAGGAGCAACAAGATCTGAAAGCTCAATAGGCAATTTAATCCAAACACTTTTCTTTCCCTGCAAAATTACATAAACAAACAAGTCTTTACTTCAGGGTGTAAGGGTCCTCCAAATATACATATTTGTGCAAGGAAAAAAAAAAAAATTTTGACATAAATATATTTTTGACTGTATTGGCACCACGTCGCCACGTTGGATATCAAATGACTTTGAAATACATCTCAATTCTCAAGTGTGCCCAAAATTTTGTTACTTTTTAAAAATTCAAATCCTTGACCAACAACAGTAAGATGCGCAATGAACAAAAATATACTCCTATGCAATATCTTGACTTGTCATACACTTGTGAAAATGTGGTATATAAAAGGAACTCATCTTCCCCTGTTATTCTGCTGAGAGATTAAAAAGGGAACAACCATGTCTACAAGTTATATATGTACCATACTGCAAAGAGAAACTCTCTGTGCAGTTATGCTTCAATCTAACTTTAAACAATTTCTGACTTAACACAATCAAAGAGTTCAATTAATAGAATCCCAGATCAAAATAAGCAGCATCAATAAATTGAATTAAGTACCTCTTGGCGCCACAATGATATTGAAGCACGAAGCGAAGTAGCAAAAACATGAGGATCCATAGGCTCCTTCATATCTACAGTGACTCCTTCATATCTATCAGTGGATGCAGAAAGTAATTCAATATGCTGAATTTCATTTTCAGGAATCACAACCAATGGTGAACTCGTTTCACTTGTACTTGACATGATTCTGGTGAATGGAATCACAGCTTGAACCTTGAGACCTGAGGGAATAACAAAAGTTGTTGATCAAGTCCAATAAATAGAGCATTATTCGTTTATATATATATATATCTTGAAAATAATTAAAAATCAAATCAACCTATTGCAATTGACAATTAAGATAACAACAAATTGTTGATTAAGTCCAACAAATAGAGCAATCGTTCTAATCTATATATATATAAATATATATATATATATATATACATACAGACAGACACATTGAAAGTTATTAAAACCAAATCAATATATTATATTTTTGAAGCCTATCAAATCAACATATTACCAACTAACAATTAAGGTGAAATTTTTTTTTCTTTCCTAATTAAGGTGATGATTAGCCAGTTTGTTTTTCAAAATTTGCCTTTATTATTATATATTGCCACTAAATAAGCGTGGTCGGTCCATATGTCATTAACTATGTTGTGCACTTAATAAAAATTGACAATTTGCATACATGTTTATTTCTCATTGATCCACTCAAGCATGCAAACGTGTTGAACTGATCACTGAAATAGAATAAGTTCTCCTAGCATGGTCAAACTGACAACTGACCCAGTAATGCATACCAGTCGCAAATAAAAAAGACACACCAAACAGTGTTGGCGTCAGGTGATTAACATACATACCAATGTCTTGAAAAGCCTGTATCAAGATATAATGACCATTGAATCCCAGAATTTAAAGAAATAGAAAATGAGAGACATTATTATCATCAAAACACGTAACAAGAAATGATCAATTGAATAATTTTCTCCGTCCAAATGATCACAGCTTGCTTGGACGGCCTGTTGATAAAGGGTCTTATTGGACAAGCCCTAAGCTCAAATGTCCTGATTCGACTCTCACATAACGTAAAAACACAGTATTATCAAATTATATGCATGATTTACAGTGATTTGTCGTATTCAGAATATGTCACAACATTCGAAGTGTTCCACATTTAAAGAAAGAAATATCTGCAAACACACACTCTCACACACACATACCTTTTGAATGTGCAAACGGAGAACAACAGCTGTTTGGGACAACTAGTGTGGAACAAATAGTCGAATTTGGTGATGATAGAAAGGTCTTACCGGCAAAAATAATTGCAGATAAAGTTCTGGGTACGAACCGCTGCATGAGAAATCAATAAAATGACAAGGTAATATACTTGCCTTCAAAGTTTAAAGTTTAATTGAACCACCAATCTAAGGCACGCAACAACCTATAACTAGAAAGACGAACTTATTTGAAGCTTACAAAGTTATATGGCTAAAAACAGTAGTTACTTGGACGCGGAGATTAATCTTGGACTTTGAATAATTCAGATGGATCGACTGAGAACCAAGAAATGGACTCATGACCATATTTATACTTATTCTAAACGTATACAACCTTCCTGACATATTCTTGACGTGTTAAGTTGTGCACGTTGATAATTCAATGGGCTTAGAATGGACAGCGTGTCTCGGACAATCTCGACGAAAGCGATAGAATGGTTTCCCATTACCCATACAGGTTCAGAGAAAAGTTATACAAAGTACAAAAGTAAAATGATAAAACAGTTTCCAATTCATAAAATGTAAATTACACAAACACTCTCTGAAATTTACAAACATGCCTAAAGTTGCACGCCAAAGTTTGACTCGTAAATTACACAAACACTCGAAAAGACAGGGTTTGAACCCTGCAATGGGGCAAAGCGTATGAAAATGCTTACCAAACTAACAATAAATAAATCAGGAAAAAAAAAAAAAATGAATTAATTACTCAAGGAAAAAGAATTTTTGAAAATAAAATTTAAAGAACAATAATTTAGAAAAAACATCAAGTATATCTTTATATATATACTATAGTCAAACTGAATATATCTGTATATATATCCAATACCATAAAGACCAAACATCAACCCGTACCAAACATCTACGGTCAACCTTCAACGCAGGGGTCCCGCACTTTTCTGAATCTCGTCGGCCGCCGTGACTGCAAGCCGTACAAATTTTTACACAGACACACACAAACCCGAAGGCTGCTAGGTTGGCACTACATGCCCTTATCAAATCCACAAATAAAGACTCAATTTCTTATACAACTTCAATAGAATATGTTGAAGAAAGAAGGCTTAAACCCTTTGGTTTCTATGGTGCATAAGGTTTGGATTTAGCTGGTAGAGAGAAAGAAATAGGTGCAAAGAGAGGGAGGGGGAGAGAGGGAGAGAGGGAGAGAGGGGTGACGGTGGTGGAGTTGGGCGGTGGAGGGAGAATGGGTGCGGTTGTGGGTGGAGGTGGAGAGGGTGGGGATGTGGATGGGAAAATGTTCTAGAAAGCTAGGAGGAGGATTGGCTGGTTTTTGGGCTGTCATGGGCCATTGGCCTTGTAAATTTTGGTCATGCATATATATATCTATCAAGGGCATTGACCAACCAATTGGACCATATGGCCCAATGGACATCACCCTGACAAGAGTGAAGAACCCATTTGCCAATAAAATGGGCCACTAAAAGTACAGACTCCAACGTAACAACCAAAGTTTGCAAGTGCTAAATGCAAAGATTTCAACAGCTAAACGGGGCACGCGCCCGTTTTGCAGTGCCATACGAAGAGGAGACAAATGGAATTTTATCAATTTCCTCCAATATGTATGGATTCATTCACCCGAAACAGTGCATACAACGAGTCGCAAGATATTTCCCTCCCTAGCACCAATCTTCAACCTCTCTGCTCCGAGGAGATTGTAGAATGCATGTAAAATCAAATGTGGGTGTGAAAATCACTAATCCTTTACAGAAATACAACATAGTCAAACTAAGTATATGAGACCTTTCAGCGATGAACACAGTTGTAACAAATATGATATTTTTCGAGTAAGCCCCCACCCTCCAAAGCACCCCAATCACAAGTTTATTGTTGAAAAACAAATTGAAACAAAGAAAACTGATCCTTAAACTCCCAAACAAACAACCATCACTACAAGCCCACTACGCTCACGGTCAGAAAGATTGACAAAAAATAAATGCCTGCAAGAGACCCAAGAAGTGAAAACACAGGTACATCCAAACTGCAAAAGAAAAGTCCTGCCAATTTTTTCTCCTCATGTTTGGGAGTTTTGAATAGGCCCTTGAAATTGGAATTGGAAGTCCTCCTAAACGCAACATCAATGAATTATCCACATTTTATGTACTTGATTAAAACCAATTTGTTCAACTTGACAGATAAATAGACACTAGTTACCAAAAAGTGATTCAAGGTACAACCGTGTATCCCTTCATTCCATGTGAACATCTTATCGCTTCCACTACGTCAAAAACTTAATTGATTAAATTGAAAAGCCCCAAATAAAACACATGATTAGCAAGATTCAGTGTGAAAAATTAAGAAAAATAAACAAGCTTCAATGTAATCGAAGAACATTTAATTCTGAACTTAACAATAACATAAAAAACCTAATATCAATATGAGTAGAAAATGGAAGAAGTTAGGGTCTTGCTAATTAGATTTCAGAGAGGGGTGAAACAAACGTTCGAGATAGAGAAGCAAGACTTTCTGATTATATTTCAAACCTATTCATTACTACAGTATATAAAAAAACATACTTTTCATCCGCTTAGTCAACTGGGCTCTAGTAAATTCACACTCTAATGTCCGTGAATAAGAATGTTAAATATATAAATGAATATTGTATTACATTATATGTAAATGGTATAATAGGGTACTATATATTGGAGAAGGTTGAAAGTAATGACGGGTGAACAAGTAACATATAAATGATAATATGGTAAGTGTAATCATACATGCTAATGTGTAGTATATAAGAAACATTAGTGGTATGTAAAGAGGTAAACTTAATCTAACAACCCCCTCAAACTCAATGTGAGTATGAACTCAACTTGAGATTGAAGGTAAGATCATGAAAGCAGCATCACGGAAATTTGGTGGAGATGGGTTTTCACCCACGATGCAGATGGAGGCATGATTAACAGATGACGTGACACTACTGCTGGCACCATTGCTGGTTGTGTTTGACATGAGAGCTGTCGTGGTAGGTGATGTGGCACTACTGTTGGCACTGTTGCTAGTTGTGTCTAACATGACAGCTAACGTGGCACTACTGTTGGCACCGCTGCTAGTTGTGTCTGACTTGATAGTTGTTGTGGCAAGTGACATGGCATTATGGCTGGCACTGTTATTGACTGTGTCCGAGGATGAAGTGCTAAGTGTGTTTGAGGATGAATCGCTTATGAGGCGGAATTATGTCGTTATTGTCGTGGAACTGTGATGATGTGTCTTAGATGCTGATTGGGCTACCAAAATAAGGATTTTGCTGGTTATGAACTGTGGGCATTGGGCCAACAGTTTGAGAGTAAGTAGATGTAGGGTGTGTATGTTGATTATAAATATTAAAATTTCTTCTGGCAAGGTACTTAAATGATTGTTGATTTTAAATATTAATATATATTTTTTAATGAAAACTATTATTTGCTATGAAATTGCATCAACTTCGAAGAGACCTTTACTCCAAGTGCTTAATTCCACTATATTCACACTCTTATTGTTGTGGTTGCCTCCTACCACTTGAGCCTCTTTCAAATGGATGTGAAGAATACATTTTTTAATGGAGATCTAATTGAGGAAGTCTACATGCAGCCTCATCCAGGTTATCATCATTTCCCAATAAGGTGTGTTGGCTCCCTCGTGTCTTGTATATCCTTAAACAGGCACCATGAGCTCGATTTGCTAAATTCAACTCTACTCTCTCTTGCCTTGGCTATTCTGTTAGCTTATATGATTTAGCCCTAATCATTAAGTGATTCGCATGGAATGCAGGAACTCGAACAGTTTCTTAGTCACCTGTTTGAGATGAAAAGTCTTTGACCTCTTAGTTATTTTCTTGTCTCGAGATTATTTCTTGGTCTCGAGATCATTACAAATGTTGCTAATGGTTACTATCTCACTCAAGCAAAGAATAACTCAGATCTTCTTTCGAAATTTGGGATAACTGACAACAACATTTCTAATATATCACTTGAGTTCAACTTTAGACTCTTTCCACATAGTGGTGAACCCAACGTTCCTATTACTAATTTTTAGTTTTAGATTATTATTATGATTTGTTAAATTTTTTGCTAAGGCTAGGAGTGAAGCCACAACGATTTATTGGTGTTTGCTACAAGATTATCAATTATTTTAATACTGCTAATATAAGATTGTAACGACCCAAACCCGTGGATCCGAAAAACTAACCAGGTCTCTAAGCAGACCCATGAACACCAAGGGTAAAATAGTCATTTTGCACCTTAATATGTGTTAAGAGTCATAATGAAGTTATACTGGTCATCTCTAATCACATCGAATCATGAAAAATTGGTAGTTTTGACTTCAAGTTCATTCCGGGACCCTTGGGTTGATAAGGTAAAATGGTCATTTCAAGTCATAATTATGAAATGTGACCAATACTAATGGAAATAAGACTTAAAATCATACAACCTGGGCTTAAGAATGACCCTATTCGGATTATAAATGAAAAAGTTATGACTGTCGCAGTTTCGGGTAAACAATCAATTTTTTTCTTTTGAAAATTTTCTAAGTGTAGGAAAATCTGATTGATTGGATTAAAATATGATTGATCAGACTGAGAGGTGATTATAAGGCTGTTACGAATTTTTTCAAGTATGGGAAAATCTAATCGATTGGGTTGAAATCAGATTGATCGGACTGATAAGTGACCTGGGAGACAATTTCAATGCCATGAATTGCGAAATAATTCCCGAACCTCCTTGGTCCCCCAATTGGTCATAAACTTGTCCCAAAACAGGGATAAGTATAAAAAATGACATATAAACATTCCCCTGAATAAAATGACATAAATGCCCCTTAAATTGAAGTGTCGTCTCCAAAATACATCACATTCAGTTTTAAGCTTTCATATTCATTCGTTTACGAGGCATCAACGAGTTTAATACTTAAATACCCAAATTGTACAAAAGTAGTCCAAAAGAATATAGTTACAAGTTTGAGACCCTTGAGGTTCTAAGTACAATGTTTTTTACAAAAAATAAACGGATTGGAGTCACTTTATAGAAATAAATGTCATAGCTAAGTATTGTCTACCAAAATTACAAAAGATGATTTCTTCTTCTTCTACGCCTAAGGCGGTGTGTCGTCCACTACGTCCTTGCTATATCTTGAAAGTATTAAAGGAATGGGGTGGGCACGAAGGCACAATAGGAAATGCCAAACCACCAACTTTAGACTCCCTTGAGTTAAGCAATACATAGAAAGCCTCAAAAGCAATTGGGATCATACAACGAGGATCTTATGAAACATAATTAACAATTCAACTTAACGATATCATTTACACAATTTCTCAGACGAATGCATGAAAAATGTTATACAATGCACAACAATCCCAACCAAGGTCCCAAACTAACCCAACTCACATCGAAAACACGTTAACCGACTTTATCGAGGCGAGATTGATTAGCTATCCCTAGCCTCAATTTTGATGACCATTTGGGATATTGAAATCAATGTTACACGTCTTATAACCGGCACAAGCTCCCTCCAGGTCAAGTTAACACCGGACTCGCAAAATTCGGTTCAATTATAAAATCCATTCCACAACCTCTCAACCTTAACTCATTCAATGTTTCCATCCAACCTCCCCACTATAACATGCCACGTATATTATTTATGCATTAATTAGATTCATTCTCACTTCTACAATATCAATAGCATGTCATGGGGATTTATCATGAATCAAAACATAAGCATGCTTCTTATGGAAACTTTGCTCATTTCAATCATGCTAGCATTTGAAGGTTTAAACACCTTTACACATAGATAACATACTGGATCTCTTTATCACACAATGGCATATTTTA